TAAATCTTTAATTTTTATAAGATATGTTAGGATAGTGTCAGGATGTGATGGGATATGTCGTCTGTATATAATGGGGTATTATATTGTTATTCCAAGTTGGGTTGCTGTCCCCCATGCTGAGTATGAGGACAAGTTTTGAGGATAAAAGAAAAAGTTTAATCTGTCAACAGATGAAGGGGTGATCGACCTCTGAGTCTCAATAACTCCAGTTCTCTTGAATCAAAGTGTTTTTTTTTTTTTTTGCTTTGCTTTGTTTTGTTTCGTTTTTTAAAGAAGGCTCCCAGGAAATGGGAGCTGGACTGGAGAAAGCATAAAGGAGCTACAGGACTCTGGCTCAGGGACCAAGGTTTGTCCTTAGATGCACAGTGATACATTCCTTCCCTGTTCTGTTGCAAGGATTCTAAAGCCCATAGGTGGTGAGATGCTATCTAGTCTGACTGAGTTGTTTTGCTCTGTTTGGTTGCTATGATGGCTGAATGCACTTCAGCTGGCCTGCAGCTGGTAGTTACTGTCTGCCCTGAACCTGGAATTCCTTTGCTCAGATCTGGAATTCCCTAAACAAAGACCATTGAGACAATAGTAACCAAGAAGTGTTAGCTATTAGAGAATCAAATGACCTCATAAGTCCAGGGATTGGAATCCCCTAGGGTCAGCTATGATAGTCCCTTATTGAGTGAGTTAAGCCAAGGAAGGGTGGCTCAGAGACCAGGGTCTAAAGACAACTAGCATTTACATTCGAGGTACTAGTTGGAGATTCAGTTTCAGTATTTGAATAGGAAGGGATATTGTACCTTGGTATGATGGAATAGTAGCCTCAGATGGAAGCGTGGGCAAATGGGAAGACTTTAGGTCCTTGAATTTCTAAGCTACTGAATGAACTAATCCAGTACTTCCTTTACTTAGCAATTTGTTTTTATGAAGGATCCATTTTTTTCTGATTGAAATTGTACGGCAGAAATGACATAGTCACCTGCTGAAGCTTGTATAAAAGAAATTTCTTCTGTAATGTGGAGGCATAGCTCTCCTGCCTGGATGATGTCTTCAGCATCCCTCACCCTGGCATTCTAGATGGCACCATGTTGATTCTTTTTTTTTTTTTTTTTACCAAATGGAGTATGATATGAACTGGGACTGCTTCTGGGACAGAGAAATAGGTTTAAGTGTATCATTTTTCGTTATTCCAGCACTACCTCTTCCTTCTCTACATTCCCCACCCCCTACCCAACCCATGTACCAGGTGGATGACACCAGAACAACTTTGAAGCACCTGACAGCAGAATGACAAGACAGAAGCAGCATGAGTCTCTGAGTCACAGCTTGGAGCAGCGCCTGGAAGTGCCACTCAGCCAGGTTTGTGTATGAACACCTGAGTCCTTGGCAGCACCTGCTCTGGAAAGAACCTAGCAGACCTGCCCAACACAAGCTAGTTGACTTGGAGTGTTATTTGCACCAAAAAGCTTTTCATCTAAATTATTGGGATGACAGTCCCTGAAGGCCAGATGATCAGCTCAATGCTGGCTTTGGCTTTTGTACAATTTTTTTTTTTTAAATTTATTGTCACCATCTCTTCATCAGTGGGTTACCCAAGTATTAACTTTGAAAATTTTATGAGTTTAAATCAGTATACATTCATGAGATACAAAGTAGGGTTGTCGTTTATGAATGCAAGATGTTAAATAAAGCAACTGCACATATCCCTTACCTCGACTCCGTGTGTGGTGAGAGCATTTGAAATTCATTTTTTTAGCAAAATGTGCAATAGTCTATTATTAATTACAGTCACCATGCAGCAGAGCTAAAAATCATAAAATTCCTTCTATTGGATATTTGACTCTTTGAGCCGCTTTGATTATTCAATTATTTGATTAGGACCAACAATAGGCAAAACCCTCACACCAGCTGCCGTTTGATCTGCTTCTTGGTCTTTCTTTCTCTCTTTCTTTCTTTCTTTCTTTCTTTCTTTCTTTCTTTCTTTCTTTCTTTCTTTCTTTCTTTCTTTCTTTCTTTCAAGGTTAACTTATTTTTATTGAAAAGGGAGATTTACAAAGAGGAGAGACAGAGTAGGGGAGATCTCCTATCAGCTGGTTCATTCCCCAAGTGGCTACAATGGCCAGAGCTGAGCTGATCTGAAGCCAGCAGCCAGGAGCTTCTTCTGGGTCTTCCATGTGGGTACAAGGTCCCAAGGCTTTGGGCTGCCCTCGACTGCTTTCCCAGGCCACAAGCAGGGAGCTGGATGGGAAATGGAGCATCCAGTTTACAAACCAATGCCTGTATGGGATGCTAGCACCTGGAGGCAGAGGATTAGTTAACTGGGACATAGTGCCAGCCCCATTGGGATCACTCTTTAAAAGAGTGAGACTGGGGCAACAATCAGCAACTCAAGAAGTGGTATTAACCTTCACTCCAGGCCTGCCAGAGTTGTATAACTGAGTGATCTTTTAGTAGAGGTGCTCTGGGAGGGTGCCTGTGCCAGCGCTTTGTAGGGTCACGCTGAGATGGGCAGGGAGTCCAGAGATCAGTGTCCATGTCTCTGGCTTGTGCAGAGGGACTTGGCTTTTGGAGCTGGAGCCTAGCTAGGCAAGGCCCTGGCACCTTCCTCTCCATCCCAGGTCTTGTCAGTATTAGACCATCTTGCAGTGATTGCTTCTTCCTCTTCAGTGTCCATTACTTAAGGATGAGGTCCTCAAAAGCTTCCAGAAAAAATCCATATTATGGGGACCACCATGATGGCACAGTGGGTTAAGCCAAGTACCTGTGACACCGGCATTCTATATGAGAGCCCTGGCTCCACCCCTTGCTGCTCCTTCTCTGCTTATGATTCAGCTCCCTGTTAATGCGCCTGGGAGAGCAGCAGAAGATGGTTTGAGTGGGTGGGTCTCCTCCACCCACGTGGGAGAACAGTCTGGTATCCCAGACTCCATGCTCACTTGACCCAGCCCTGGCTGTTTTAAGTGTTTGGGGAGTGAATCAATGGATGGAAGATCTCACTTTCTGTGCCTCTCTCCATCTCTCCATTCTCTGGGTCGCTCTGCCTTCTGAATTAACTTCACGAAACTTAAGAACATTCATGTTATGAAAATCCATAGATTTCTAATTTTTAAAAAATTTTTCAGTAAAATAAAGTCATCTTTTAATTCCCTTGTGGGCCCGGTACGGTGGCCTAGTGGCTAAAGTCCTTGCCTTAAATGTGCTGGGATCCCACTTGGGCGCTGGTTCTAATCCTGGCAGCTCCCCTTCCCATCCAGCTCCCTGCTTGTGGTGTGGGAAAGCAGTGGAGGATGACCCAAAGCCTAGAGACCCTGTACCTACGTGAGAGACCTGGAGGAGGTTCCTGGCTCCAGGCTTCGGATCAATGCAGCACTGGCCGTTGCACTCACTTGGGGAGTGAATCATTGGACATAAGATCTTCCTTTCTGTCTCTCCTCCTCTCTGTATATCTGACTTTGCAATAAAAATAAATGTAAATCTTTAAAATAAATAAATAAATGATTCCCTTTGCCACAAGCTTTTGAAGCATCCTCAGAGCCTTTCCCCTGCAAGGGTGGCTGACGCTATCTTGTCCTGACACGGGGAGGAGGTGGCTGTCAGGGTGGATGGTTGTTCTAACAGAGAATGCCAAATGGTGCTCCCTTTCTGGTTTTCCTTTGGTGTGGGTGAGCCAAGGGAAACATCTTGAAACATCTTCTGGTGCTACAAGTGCCTCTGCCACACTTCTCTAACACTTGAGTTACATTTTTTTTTTAAATACCAAGAAGAAACAACTGGCTTTCCAACTCTGGACAAACACCAGTAGCATCCAGCAAAGACTGTTCTGCTTTTATTGTATTTATTTTTCCCAGGGTCTGTGTGCTTATGGTAAGTCATCCCAGTTTTCATTTTACAGTTGTGATGTGAAGTTCCCTTTTGAAATGTATTTCTAGAAGGAAAAAAAAAAAAAAGACCCAAGTCCATGTGAAGAAAAACATTAGGTAAATAACTGCTGATGTGGTCTTCGGGTGTGGAAATCCTTTTGGGAAAGATACCAAATAACTGAGGTTTGAAACATGCTGGGGGAATAGGAATCTTCGGGCAGGAAACGGAGGCTTGGAAATAAATCTTGCCTCTGCCTGTTAGCATCCAGGGCTTTATTTCCTCATCCACTAAAATGAAGATAATCATTTCTCCAACGTGTGGTTGCTTTGAGGATGAAATGAGATAAAACGATCGGTGTGTCATTGGCATGCAGTGGCTCTTTTGCATGTAAAGACGTGAGCAATTCCCAATTTCTTGCAAGTTCTTTGCAAGAAAATTCACTGTCAGTGTCGGTTTCTCGAGACTTCTGTTGCGTAAGATCTGGTCATGAAACCCTGATCTCTGATGTGCTGCTGTGGGCATTGGAAAGCTTGGGGCTTTGGGGAGATAGTTTTAGGGTTAACGAGGTCATGAGGGTGGGTTCCTTATGATGAGATCCCTTTAAGAGGAGAGGGGAACACGACGAGTGGTAGGAACATAACCTCCCGGCAGCTGCTGCTGGATCCCTCAACCTGCGGGACCAGTCATAGAAGCCAGCCCACCAGTCACACCCTGTTACAGCAACTAATACAGTGCTTACCCCATTTAGAGTGCATCCACCCACACGTTTGTCATCCTGCATCATTGACCATGTGGAGACACCTTCACACAGGATGCTTCACTGACTACGCGGGGAAGAGGCTCCACAATGTCACACACATGAAGACAGAGGGCTGAAGCTTAGGTGACTTGCTCAAGGTTCCCCAGAGCTCCCATGGTTCTTGGACACTCACTCCTGTCGCCTCCAGGGACTCAAGTGGACCTACACAGGACCTCATGTTAGAGGGGACATTTTAGCAATCCCAAGAGGTACGGGGGGTAGCTCTCTTCTGGAGGTTAACTCTTGGATGAGCCAAGTTCGGCTTCTGAGATGGAGAGGAACCAGGTGGGGGCGATTAGTCAATGTGGGAAGTACCCTGAAGACACCAAACACTTCCAAGTTCAGTTGGTTACGACAAGGCAAAACCTTTAATAACATAAGTGCTGATTACATTAGCTGCTTTGGGGCTCTGACAGCTTTGATTTCTGGTCATTTTTTTTTTTCTTTTTCTTTTTTACTAACACAGAAAGGTGACTGCCTCCCTCAGGGCCTCCTGGGAGGTTGGTTTCCTGAGGATTTGTGGGAGGGGATGGTGGGGACAGCTATGCACGCACCTGATGGGAATTCAGAACTGCCTACTCCCACCACCATCAGCACCCCCCACCACCACCACCCACGACTTGGAGTACAGTCTTCTTCCAAGGAGGGAAGAATGTGGAGCTCCTTCTGGACCAGAAGGAAGAGAGGAAAAACGCTTGGCACAGATACACAGGGAGAAGGTGGATGTTAAGGGCTTGGTCTAGGAGGCGTGGAGGGAGCGGGACTTGGGAGGGTCAGAGGACCACATGGGCAAGGACTGAGTCCATTTGGTTTCATTCTTGGCAAAAATAAAGTAATACCATCACGAGGACCATGCCATGCAACCTCGGCGACATCTCTGCGGAGGGGCTCCCCAGACTGCACAGGGCAGGCGCGGGGCAGAGGTCAGAGGTCAGTTCAGACGGGCGTGGTGCGCCGGTTGGGATTATTATGCAGCGACTCTTTGTATTCTTTGGGCGTCGAGTTGTGGAACTGTAGAAAAGCGTGGTCCCGGTCGGAGTTGAGGAGGGTCCCCATGGTGATCTTGGAGGGGTCCCGCGAGAGGGTGAACATGGAGATGTCGGTGGAAGGGATGGTGTGGAACCCTTTGCTGATGGGAGACAGGTCTCGGGATCGGGGCTCTGTGGACCGTGAGCTCGACCGCCGCCGGAATCTGTACCTGTAGGGCGGGAGGCGGGCGAAGGAGGATTTCTTGAGGAGCTCCGAGTGGGATTTGGCACGTAACTGTTGATGCTTTTCAATGTAGATGTGCACGGCCACCACGCCCACGATTTCCGCGATGATGAAGGAGAAGGCCCCGAAGTAAAAGGACCAGCCGTAGGAGTAACTTTTTTTGGAGTCGCGCTGCCCTGGGTCTCCAGCATTGGCCGAGATATAAACTATGATGCCAATGATGTTGCTTAACCCTAAGAGAAGGGATTAAAGAAACACACGTGGTTTATTAAGCCTCAGAGGTAATTGACACTTTTAATGAATAGTAGGAGCTTCTAAAAGTGCTTGGGAAAGTTATGCTGTTGACTTCTTAATAGCATTTTCCTGCAAACTTCTTTGAGATGTCCCTGTATTTCGAGGAAAGTGGACAGAGGTGGAAGAATTCTGGCTGGGAACTCCCACTCCTGAGGTGTGACTCTGGGGAGACGAGGAAGGCTGTTGCTTAGGGCCAGGCACCACATATTCAGCTGACAAGGGCATTCTGCTCTGACAGCAGGTGCCAGAGAACCCGGAAAGCATTTATTCCCCTCTTAGAAACACTTCATCCCATCAACACTTCATCTCTGACATTAATTCATGAGGAAGCAAACCTAATAAGATTCAGGTCCTTGCCCTTGAATTTCTCACCATTAGTGGGAGAGATTGACATGCAAATGCAATTACAGTAAAGTACAGTAAGGACTCTACCAAGACACATATAAGACAGTCCTGCAGCAAAGGGAGAGAGAAAAATGGAGCAGTTCGCTTTGAAGACCAGATCGACACTCAAGCTGGAGCTGAACTTGGATGAAAAGGAGCCTCTGGATTGTGGAGTGGGACAAAGGGAGCTGAGAAGGATTTTCTGGGGTCTCTTGCTTGGATTTCTTGGAGGCTTGAGCTACAACAAGAAGCTACAACAAGAAGCAGCAGGACAACCCAGGTTCAGGACAACAGGAGCCCTGGGTACATCAAGGCTGGAAGTACTTGCAGTCTCCAATTGGAGATCTCTAGTAGACATTTGAGATGGCTTCAATACGTTCATGGAAAATGGAACTAAAATAAATTCATTTGGATGCAGAAGGGAATTTGAAAACCATGCATATGAAGGGTTTCCTGGAAAAGCTATGCATAGTTTTCAAAATCTTTGGGCATTCCCATGATTTAAGCCATATTTGAGTCCTCAGATTCACTGAGATGTGAAAAACCTCAAGGTCTTGTGCTAGTGGGTAACAGATTAAGGCCGTTATATCAAGGCCGGACCCCTGATGTAATGATGGCATCGGGGAGCTGAGGCTAATGAGATTTAAGGTACCAGTAGAGTGATGCTAATCGGAGGCTAAGTCTCATTTGGATCACTCGGGCTTGCCAGTGGGAGAGTAGTTCCCAAGAAAGGGTTGGTGATACAAGCCAAACGTGCTTCCTGTGTCACCCTCTATTCTCTATATTGCCCTTTGACTCCTGGTTTATCATGGAAACCTTTCCCCTACACGTATTCTGCCACCTGCCATCCACTTCCAACAACCATATTAATGCATACATTTAACTTGAGACTTGAACTCCTTTCTTAAGTGCTCCACTTTGCGGGGATTTTAAAGTGACAAAAAGCTAACACATACCCCCAAACTGATGTATCCTCTCACTCAATTTTTGCATGAACTTTCTTGATGTGCTCTCATCCTTGCACCCAGAGCTCTATTTTGGACCCCTTCAGAAGCCACGAGGAAGGGGCAGTAACTTCCACAGGCTTTTTATCCACACAGAGTAAGAGAATGCTTTAAGTCAGCTACTGTGTGAGCATCAGGACGAGGGGAATACCACACTGTTACTCCCACTGCATAAGACCTTCAACACTCAGTTTCTCCCTCATCCCATTGTTGACGAACTAATCCTCTAGGGATTGGGAAGAAGGAATTGTACATGCAGAGACTATGGCTGCCTGTCTCACCTTCTTGTTCTTGTGCTTCAAGGGTCTTATCCAGAGCTTGGAACCCACATAACTCATGGAGATTGATTTACTATCTGCTATCTCCTTGCGTCTTAATTTAGGGTACCTGTAGAGTGATGCTAATTGGAGGCGATGTCTCATTATAGTCACAACAGCAGCTGGTGAATAATCCATATCCAGGAGCTTCTTAAGCCCTCCTTGCAGTTCTCAAACATTCTACACGTCTTCTGAGTGTGTCCTAAGTGCCCCCCCCACCCCAGAATCCTACAACTAAAGGTTTAAAGAACATCATAGCAGAAGCCACAGGCTCCAGCCCAAGTGCTCTCATCCTGATGGGATGGTGCACACACATTAGGTTTGTTGATATTTCAAATATGACTTCCGGTCCTACTTTATGGAAGATTTGGCCCTCCAAGGCAGGGCTAGGGTCTGCACCTGTCACCACTCGACTGTGCCCAGGCTAGGCATTCAGCAGGCAGGTGGCAAGTTCTCATCGTGGAGCTATTTCTTCATCTGGAGGCTGACACATCCAGTTCTGTGTCAGGCTGCAAGAAACTGCAGGATGAAAAACGGCCCCTCTTCCTGGAGTGTCAACTGGACTTGAAGATTAGCAGGGAAGACACATTCTTTTATATTAAAATGAACGTGGATATAATAAGAAGGAGAAAGAATTCACATGAATTTTTCAGTTAAATGATAGGCCGACTTCAAAGGCGTTCCAGCTCACTTGAAGGAGGCTGCTGGGGACGCCCCCAACTCCCAGGAGCCACGCTTTCTCATTTCTCTGCGAGCCAGGAAATGTTGGTGGGAAAAGTTGGGAAGCCCTAAAAGGATGCTTTGCTGGGGGAGAGGGTGAGAAAGATGCTTCTAGAGTGGCCGAAACAAGCAGGAGCTCAAACGAGCTGTCCAATATTCACTCTGTATCAGGCACGGAGCAGTCTCTATACGAAATGTTGCCTCATTGAACCGTAACAAACAGGTAAGCTTTAAAAAAAAAAACATGATTCTCCTTTTACATATGGGGAAACTGAGACCCAGGATGCATGGCTTTCCATGTTGATCCAACTAGGAAATGGTCAAGATAGAATTTGAAGCCAACCATGGTGGATTTAGGCGTCAGTAACAACAGGGTGTGAGTAAATAGTCACTTTGTCTCATCCACCTGATGCTAAGCTTGCTGAGGTCAGGGGTCATCCTGGGCTTGTTGATTGCTGTGGCCTCAACTTCCAGCTCAGAGCTTGACTCCTAGCAAGGGCATGGGGCATGTTTGTTCAACACATGAGCGATGGAGTTGGCATGAAGATTAAGTGGCACAATGTATGCAATGAATAACAGTGACTACCTGTGAATCATCATGTCCTTTACGTCCTTTACTATAGCAACTCGTTGAAGTGTCTTAAAAGAGACTCAAGGGCCCAGTGCGATAGCGTAATGGTTAAGGTCCTCGCCTTCAACACACTGGGATCCCATATGGGCGCTTGTTCTAATCCTGGCAGCTCCACTTCCCATCCAGCTCCCTGCTTGTGGCCTGGGAAAGCAGTGGAGGATGGCCCAAAGCCTTGGGACCCTGCAATCGCGTGGGAGACCTGGAAAGATGTTCCTGGCTCCTGGCTCTGGATCAGTGCAGCACCGGCCTTTGTGGCCAGTTGGGGAGTGAATCATCGGATGGAAGATTTATCTCTCTGTCTCTCCTCCTCCAGTACATCTGCCTTTCCAATAAAATAAATAAATCTTTAAAAAAAAGAGAGAGAGAGAGGCGGAGGGGAAGTGGGGAGATTCAAGAGGTAGGGTTGTTATTTTCCTCCATTTTATAGATGGGAAAATGGAGCCAATTAAAGAACAGCATCAGGCATGGCCCATGCTCCTGAGCATCATGCACAGGGCCTGGCACAGAGAAGGTGCTCCATGAGGAGTTGTTGTTGGTGTGTTGGAAACTGCAAGTCTTCCTGAGAGCCGTGCAAAGAGGAACCTTGGAAGATGGTGAACTGCTTCTCATAGGAGAAACAACTGCTGCTGTCAGGATTCCTTAGGGAGGGTAGTGGAGGGATGCAGGATCAGACCCCGATCTGTCTGCTTCCCCTTGAAGCTTTCTGTTCTGTCCCACATGCTTCCCGATTCCCAGGGCTTTAATCCACCTGTTACTCTCCCTCGCAGCACCCTCTCTTTCATGAGAAGAAAGTTGCTGGTGACATGCTCTTCTCCAACTATCCCCTTGGGGGACAAAATAATGATCTCCTTTTGTTCTTGGAAGTCTGTCACATCAGCACTGCACTGAGGCTGGTTCTCTGACGAGGGCGGGCCCATCTGGTGATGGGAATGTGCCTCGAAGTCAAACAAGGCCCTGATTCTGTTAGTTGTAAACATGTGGGCACATAGAGTGAGGTCTGAGGACACAGCCCCCTTCAGGCTGATCGCAGGCTCCTGGAGCGAGGCACCAGGTGGATTTCTCCCCGCTTTGTTGCTGGCCTCCATGCCCAGGGACTCAGAACTGGACACAGACTTTGCTTAGAAACAGCAGGGGAGGCACCTGAGCAATGGTCTTAGAGAGGACCAAGACTTGGGGTGTGCAGGGTTGTAGTTACTTTTTCCAAAGTGGAAAACAATCCTAGGTTTTCCGCCTCCTGGCAATCCCAGGAAGCTGACACTGACCATGTGATGGTCGATGGGTGAAACCAACTTGTAAGGAGCTGGTAACATTTCCCAAGGCCCCATGGGTGAAGCCAGGACTCAGGTTCAGATGGGCAAGCCTGCTTGTTGATGACTGGATCCTCGCCTCCACTGCTCCCTTCCCATCAAGTCACCTGCCGTGACAGCAGCCCCCAGTTTCAGTTAGCTGATGGCAACCTGGTCTGAAAATCTTTACTGGAAAATTTCAGAAACAGTTTATAAGCTTGACAATAACTCTTATTTGATTATCCATTCTTGTTGTTAATTTCTTGCTGCTCTTAGTTTATACATTAAACTTCATCATAGGTATGTTCAAAAGGGTTCTTTCAAAAGTTCAAGAAAATTGTGTTCTATGAAAACACTACACTTGGATTTTAGGTGTTTGTTTGGTACCAAAACATACATCTTCCCATTCCATCATCCCACAAAATTAAAACTCATTCACTCATCCAGGGAGTGAAGAGTGAAGCAGAGAACTCCCACTGACACTGGTTTATCTCTCCTTCCCCATCCACACAGATGCCTACCATGGCACTATCAAGGAATGATGCCAGGAGCAGAGAACTCCAGCCAGGTCTCCCATGCAAGTGACAGAGACTCAACTGCTCGAGCCATCAACTGCTGCCTTACAGGGTATTCCTTAGCAGGAAGCTGAGACCCAGGCACTGCGATGATTGAATCAGGCATCTCAAAGTATACCCACCTGCCCACGCACTTTGTGAAGTGTCCGTGCAGGCATAGAATAAACCCAAAATACACAGGGCTTGTATTAGTTGCATTTCAGGCATCCACAGAGGGCAGGGCTGAGGGAAGGACTCCTCCTCTGATACGTAGGGAGGCAGGCAATAGTCTGGGTCAACATCTGAAGACTCTCACCCAGGGGGCAAGCCCTGTGTTCCCTGCCCTCCCCCTGCCACCTGCTTTGCTTCTCTACAACATTCCATCCATACAGCATTGATCTGCCTGGAGAGGGCTGGAGTAGAAAGAGATGGGGGAAGAGATGAAAAGAAACTCAGAAACCCAGAGGAAAGAAAGGAAGGCAGAGACCACAAGAGGGACAGAGACGAAAAGGGAAAGTGAAGGCAGAGAGCAAGACTGACTGATGGGCTCTCCTCCTGTCTTCTGCACCTCTCTGTGGGCAAGGCTGCTGTTCACTTAGTCTTCCCTGAGAGCTTGTGAGGCTGCTGGTCCTCACCTTGCTTCTGGAGAGGCATTGATATGAGCACTTGAAAAAGCAGTGGCAATAGTCAAGCAGCACATGTGCCTGTTAAAGAGCCAATGGGAACACATGAACATGCCTGGGAAAGCAGAAGGTAGAGTCATTTGACACAGTGTGGTGGGGGGCAAGTATCTAGCCCAGTGGTTAAATTGCCTGTTGGAACACCTGCAACTTGTATCAGATGGAGTGCCTGAGTCCTGGTCTCTGTTGCTAGCCTCCTGCTAATGTACACCCTGGGAGGCAACAGGTGTTTGGTGAAGGGCTTGAGTCCTTGCTGCCCACATGGGAGACCTGGGTTGTGCTCTTGGCAATAGGTTTTGTCCCCGACTCCCACCCCAGACCAGGCTTGTGGGTAAATACCCACAAACAGATTGGCTCTCCCTTTTTTGGTAGCTTCTTCTTATTATTATTTTACAACTTTATTTAGTTACTTGAAAGATGGAGTTACAAGAGAAAGAGGGAAAGCTTTTATCTACTGCTTCACTCTTTATATGGTTCTAATGGCTAGGGGTGGGCCAGGCCACAACCAGGAACCAGAAACTCCATCTGGTTCTCCCATATGGGTGGCAAGGGCTCAAGTACCTGGGTCATCCACTGCTGCTTTCTCAGGTCCTTTAATAGGAAGTCGAATCAGAAGTGGAGCAGCTGGGAATTGAATTGGTGCCCATATGGGATACCAGCATCCAAGGTGGAGGCTTAACTTACTGGGCCACAACATGGACCTATCTCTCTCTGTTTCTCTTGTATAATTAAATACTAAAAAGAAAAACAAAACCAAATTCATTTCTCTGTTATACAAACCTCCTGGGTTCACCCTCCGCTTATGTGTGTTCTCTCTCTCTCTCTCCCTCCTGGTCCTGCCACTGTTTCTTCCTTGTCTCTCTTTCACCAACCCCCAGGTACAACAGAGCGTTTTTGCTTCCAACACATACACTCTTTCCCTTCTTTAGTACAACTGGACTATGTCCTGGAGGGAGCCCTTTGCTTCGGCTGTAGAGCCTTCACTCCCCTCAGGTGTCAGTGCAATTCTCAAGGCCTGGGTCCCAACACTCACCTGCAGAGACAAAAAAGATGCCCGCACTGAGGATGACATTGTGTCTGCTGCGGTGGAACTCGCTGGCTGCTACACAGAGCCCGCCGAAGAACAGCAGCGTGACGCTGAGGATGGGAAAGACGCTGGAGGCCCTGACAGCCCCTGTGGAGAGAAGGAGAGACGCTTCTGTCTGTGGCCAGTCAGACCTCAAGCTGCACACCACGGCATGGGAAGTACATGTGGGGAGCAGTCAGAGAACCGGAGCCCATGTGTAACCAGAGACCAACAGCGACAGGCCTGGTCATGACCCCCTGTAGCCACTCTCCTAAGAAGTGTGACCACCTGTCTTTGAATTTGCATGTTGTTCCTCAAGGTCTGATGAAACAATGAAGCTTGCACTGGGAACTTGCAGCCCTGAGTCACGTGGGACCCCAACTATCAGTGGCCCTCAGCAGCCCCATGTGTAGGGCAGTCCGAGGCAGCCACCCTTGGAGCAGCCAGATTCAGGATGTGTGAGGATACTTCCAAAAATGTGCAAGAACAGAATTAAAAGATGCGTTTAATGGTAGTGCAAATATAATTGTTGGAATATATGCAGGTTTTGGTCCTAATATGCATTTTGCATGGAGTTTTTCAAGACCCCCTCACGCTGCACATTTTGCAGGTGAAGTTAACAGAGTCTGCTGACGAGCCAGCTGAGGACTGTGAGGAAAAGCAGACAGAAATGACAGCTGAGCTTGGCCTTAGACAAAGGGATGGAGCCTTCACGGTAGAAGGCAGGTGGGACGAGGGCTCCTTCTGCCCTTGAGAGGCTCGAAGCTTGGCCCACACAGCTCAGTGTTGAAGGTTTTAACCTCCACGGTCATGGTGAATTGTTTTGGCTGATATAACTTCAGCCATTTCTATTTTCTCTGCCCAACTGCTGAGTTCCAAAGGCATGGTTGTGCAACGCCACAACTGATGTTGCATTTGTTAGCTCAAATTTAGTCATGGTTGTGGCCAATGCGAGATGTGACAGAGACCAGGGTATTGGGGAGATCTCTCAATGAAGAAGATATTTGATTTAAAGTGGGCCACCCCAAATCACCCACCATGGGGGTCTGTGTGGTCCAGGATTTCCAGGATTCCCTGTGCCTCTCCCAGCCCTACCCTGTGATGGTGAATTTCTGGGAGGGGTTTTGGACTTCCTGGACTGGTGCTGGGGAAGGGATCCTGGCTACCCTTAACCGTTTTCCTACTAGGGTGGGTAAAGAGATCAGCTCCATGGCCCACAGGGTCTCCTTTCCCACTCTCACCCCTGCCCTGGACCAGGGGTACTCTCAAGTGGAGTTAAGGTTCTGAGTGTGCATGTAGCACTTCACAGTGGGCTTATTTCCTTGTAGAGCCAGTGGATTTCCATCTGGACTCTTGCCTTCACAAACACCAGGGGTGGGTTGGCCTCTGATGTCTTTGGAACTTGTGAATTCACCTTGAGTGTGATCATTTGCATTGTGTTTGAATAAGGAAGGGCTCACATATTGAATGGAATGAATTTAATTGATGAAAACAGCCTCCCTTTCAAGAAAACCTCCATGGGATGATTATCTTTTGAAATGTGCCCCCAAGGAAAGCTATCTGGACTTTTGAAGTCGTTGACATGCTTTGGTTATGAAATCGTGCATCTCACCACGGAGACATGGGGTATGTAAATGTGGCTGTTTCCCACACACTGTAGAGAGCATCTGAAGAACAACCATGGGTGGCTGGGTCCCGCTGCTTGCCCCACAAGTGGAAGATGAGCAGATATGCTGAGCTTGGGCTGCAGGTGTCTGCCTTGGACTTCCTCCAAATCAGTTGGAGCCCACAGTGCCCAGTAGACACATGGCAGCCTCAGAATCCAAAATCATTTGCCCCTCCCAAACTGTGCCAGATTGAGAAAGGGTTTTAGGGGAAAGGAGAAGAGCTTGTTCAAGTGTAATTCTACTCTGGCATCTGAGGAGGGCTTTGTCAGGTCCAAGGTGGTGTTGTGAAGGATCCCTAGGCAACAGTCTTGGGCCTCTGAACTCGTGCTATGGTGTTCTGGTTTGAATGTGTCACCCCAAGTTCATGTATTGGAAACATAATCCCTACCTCCTGTGTGAATAGTGTTTGGAGGTGGGGCCTCTGCAGGTAACTAAGGTCAGACGAAGTCTTCAGGGTTGCATCTGCGTGATGACAAGAGTGGTCTCAGGCTAGCAGGTTTGCTCTGTCTCACTGTGGGATGCCCTCTGCCATAGGGTGTTACAGCCAGAAGTCCCTGAGCAGAACATCACAGTCTCTAGAAGCACATGGGCCAATTACCCAATGTCAGGCATTCTGTTTCAGCAACAGAAACCAGACTATAACACACAGATTTAAGCAATGAAGTACGGGTCGTGATGGAAACTGGCAGCATAAGCTCTGCTGCAAGAATCCCCAAACACCCAGCAAGGACTGTGCTCATGAGGCTTCCTCCTGTATCCATTGGGAAATGCAATTGGACTGTGAGATGGAAGTAGGGGTGTAGAAAGATGATGAATCAGAGGACCCTACCTTCCCAGAGGAGGGAACAGCAATTCACCTCCAAATAATACCAGTCTTACAAGTTGTGGAATAGAAGCCACAGTTCAAGTCTCCAACAGGGTAAACATCACAATGTTCATCAATGTGGATAAAGGAAAGCAAAGAAAACCCTGGGCACCCTGGTAAAAACCTCACCCATCATGGCACCCAATTATCTGTGTCCTTCCATAAGATTTAGTCCAGCTACATCTCTAAGGGTGGTTTCTAATTTCTTTGTCTTGCTAATAAGAGGGACTTGAGTAAATTCTTGTTGGCTAGGTGAGGATCAAAGAGAGATAAATGGTGTGTCTATGTTTAACCTCGTCTCCTAAAAACAGCCTTTCACCAGCATTGTGACCTAGCAAGTTAAGCTCCTACCTGCAATGCCACAATCCCAAATGGGCATCCGTTAGAGTCCTGGCTGCACTTCTTTCCCAGCTCCCTGCTAATGGCCTGGAAATACAGTGGAGCATGTTTCAAGTCCCTGGACCGCTCCATGGGAGACCTGAAGAAGCTGTTGGCTCCTGGCTTTGGCCTAGCTTGGCACTAGCCGTTGAGGCCATCTTGGGAATGAACCAGCAGATGGAAGATCTCTCCATTTCTCTCACCTTCAAAATAAATAAATAAACCTTAAAAAAAAGTAGAGAAAATTGGAGGTGGGAGTGGTGGCACCATGCAGAAGAGGCTAAGCTTCAGCCTGCAATGTTGACATCCTTCGAGGATGCCAGTTGATGTCCTGACTCCTTAATTGTGGCCTGGGAAAGCAGAAGAGGATGGTTCATGTCCTTGGGCCTCTGTATCCACATGGGAGACCCAGAAGAAGCTCCTGGATTCTAGCTTTGAATCGACTCAGCTCCAGGCAGTGTGGCCCAATGGGGAGCAAACCATTGGATGGAGAATCTCTCTGTGTCCTTGTTTCTCTGTAACTCTGTCTTTCAAATAAAAATAAATATTTGAAGAAAATATAAAAATGGCTTTTCACATGGATACCCATATTATTTCTGTTTTTGAAAAGATTTTAAACATTTTTAAAAAATGCATTTGAAAAGCTAAATCAGAGAGGTGGATATACATCCATGTGTTCTCTCACACACATACACAGGGAGAGAAAGAGAGAGGGAGAGAGAGAGAGGGAGGATCTTCCATCCACTGGTTCACATCCCAAATGGACACAGGGTTGGGGCTGTGCCACAGCAAGGAGCCAGGAATTCTTCCAGGTCTCCCCCAACCCCCATCTGCCCCAATTTCTTTTGCAAATGTGCACAGAGAGCCCTTAAAGACCCATGGCCACCTGCGGAAGACTAGAAATGGCTTTAGTTTTCATAACTTTGTGAACTATGAGTTGCATAGTAGGATAGTTGGAGTAGGATAGTTTTTGAAAGGTTTTACTTCTAACTAGGATTTTAACAGCCATCTTAAGTTTAATAATCTTGAATAGTAAATTAGTAAAAGGATGTTCCTTTCAAGGGTGTACACACTCTTGTTGGAGAAATCATATTTAAATGCCAAATCAAGGCCTCTCTGGGGCTGGACTCCTGTTAGGCCTGGCTGTATAGCTGAACTTGGCTCTTGTTAATCCCATGTAACCCTTAAAAGCTAACCCATGACCATGTGCTGGACTCTGGGCTCCGTGTAACATGCATTAGCTTATTTAATTTTCATGACCTTGTCAGACAGATGGCTTTATCATCTCCATTTCAGAGCAGATTAAAAAAAGAAGAAAAGGGGAGGGAGGGTTAATGCAACTTTGTTCAACCAGGTCCAACTCGGAGAAGGTCAAAGCCAAGGTCTGGAAGACTCTGGAGCCCTTTGCTCGAATTCACCACGCTCAGCTGTCTCCCGCGTCTGCAGCTGTGACTGACAGACCGTGTCATATCCAGGTTACTGACCTTGGGAAAGTCCTGTGCAAACATGGACACGTCCCAGGAGGATTGAAACGCTCTGTGTCCGTTCCTGTCCCTGGAGACCTCATCCACTTAGCATCTTACCTGGTAGCACCACACCCATGAGCACTGGCCCATTATCACCTCAAGCCAACCCTCTGGGGAAGGTTAGAAAAAAAAAAACTTGTATTCAAGTTGAAAGACATTTCTTCGGTTTCCCCACACCACCATCACCTATTTTTTTTAGCTCATTGAAATAGAAGAGACTTGGCAGACATAGGAGACCACTGCCTGGGGGATGGCAGGGGAGCCCACTCTTCATCCCAGGGGAAAGCAAGCAAGCAGGGAACTTACGCAGCAGATACTCGGCCGTATCCTGTTCATAATCTGCGTCTTCAGGAAAGTGATCGATTTTCTTGCACACACCCCGGAAAGCCCCTGTGGAAACAAATCAGATTGTGAACTAGGGCCCTCACCCCCTCCACCCAGAGTGGGATTAGGGAAGCAGCAGATCCTGCCCCTGGTAGTTAGGAACTGCATATAGGTTGGCCCAATAGCATCTTCCTCTATATCGTGCACACATACACACACAAGCGCGCACACACACGAGACCAATCGAGGTAACAAAATAGCAGCAAGCAGGGGACTGGAATCTCTCTGAATGATGTCAGGATCCACTCGAAAGCCCCAACAACCAGCTTGCCAAACACCCTCCTTATCAGAGCTGTCCTGCCTTAGTGCCTCCGCCCCCTCAGTTAAAGAAAAGAATGTAGAGTCCAACACGTTCATTATTCCTCCCATTTTACAGATGGCAAAATAGAGTTTTGCTTGTCATCACTTTCGTAGGCAAGATAGCAAGAATTCTACTGGAGATCCAAGCCTACACATGGCAGGTCCGTCCACTCCTCCCCCATCAGTGCCCTATTCTGACCTCAGGATGCTTCCCGTCTTCTTCTCTCCCCTTACCTGGGATCCCAGGTCACCATCCTCTGTCCCTTGTTGAGTGGTGTACCCCTTTGGGAGCCACGAAATGGCTGAGCAGGCATCTTAGAGAAACCATGAGCTTTTTGCTGCCTTTTCTTTTTTTCAGCACAAATGTCACTGAAGTGATGGCTGATGTTTGATCATCATGGTAGGTGTTTGTTAACCAGCCAATTAACCAGTCTCTGGGGCAGTTAATGGCTCTGTCAGTTCTTATAAATGACAAACAGCTTTTGGGGCTTCTTACTGCCACACAGCAGGCAATTACACATGCTTGGCCCTCTGCCTCCTTGTGTGTGTGTGTGTGTGGAGACATCAGGAAGGTGAGGGGGAGGCGTGGTGTTGCAGGAGGTGAACAATCAGGCTGGGCCCAGATTTCAGAGTGGTCGATGTAAGAGTGAATTAAGGACAGATGCGGAGGCAAGAGAATTTTCACCAAGCTGTAGGCACACCGTGAAAATATCCACCACTTACTAAGTGCAACGGGCTAGGCACATGGCAGCAACTTGTACTGCTTATCTCATCTGCTCTTGTCCCTCACTCCACCCAGGAGGGAGAGGCTGTTAATGGTGACAACTGATGATCAGAAATGGAGGATTCCAAAACAGAGGAAGGCATCCCAGCTGGGGAGTGGCCGAGTTGATATTTGAACCGAGGTTCCAAAGCCCTGTGATTTTACCATTATGTGTGAGTGGCAGCTATTGCCGAACTGATTGTCATTAAGGCTGTTAGTAGTATCTTATCATAGTAAAGGTGCCATGGCTGTAGCCTCTACCACATTGCCAGAAAGAGATGTTTTACAACAAATGCAACCCGACATACAGAACAACTCCTTAGTTCTGATCTCGGACTCGGAATGTAAAGGTCCAGGCGAGCAGGCTCCAATTCTTAGAAGAAAAATAGACCCATCACTTTCCTACTTTTTCTTGGTCAAATTTCAGAGTTTTGTTCACGTAGTCTTCTTCTGGTTGGGAGGATAATACATTGTGATGGGCGGGTGTTTGGTGCCGGGGTTAATGCCACTGCTTAAGATCCTTCACATCTCATCTCCCCGCCTTCCATCCAGCTCCCTTCCTGTGGCCTGGGAAAGCAGTCGAGGACAGCCCAAGGTCACATGGGAGACCTGGGAGAGAAGCTCCTGGCTCTTGGCTTCGAATTGGTTCATCTATTGCCATTGCGGTCACTGGGGGAGTGAATCATTGGATGGAAGATCTTCCTCTCTGTCTCTCCTGCTCTCTGTATATCTGACTTTGCAATAAAAATAAATAGATCTTACAAAAAAAAAAAAAACACAAAGCAGGAAAAAAAAAAGCAGAAAATTACTTACTCAGGATGACTCACGACAGCTTAGAACCAGCACCCATCAGCAGCTCTTGGAGATAGCCATTTTGGGGCCCAGGGGAGGCAGAAAGAAAGAGGGAGAACTGTCTTCTGTCAATTGGTTCACTGCCCAAATGCCTGTAATAGCTGAGACTGAGCTAGGCCAAAACTGGCAATCAGGAACTCAACCCAGGTTTCCCACAGGGATTCTGGGAACCCAGTTACCTGGGCCATCACTTGCTGCCGTCTGGGGTCCACAGCAGTAGGAAGCTGGAGTCGAGAGCCGGAGCCCGGAGCTGAGTCCAGGTCCTCCTGTGTGGGTTGTTGGCGTCATCATTACTAGGATAAACACCTGCTCACAGGCATCTGTTCATACTGATCAGAAGCAACACTGTCAGCTAAGAGTATTTTTGCATATTTAGATGGTTGAAAAAAAGTCCAAAGAATATTGTTACTTCGTGTCATGTAAAAAAAAAAAAATACAGAATTGAAAGGTTGGTGCTTGTGCATAGAATCTTACTGAAGCACACCCATGTTCATTTGCTTACATAGTTTCCATTGTTCTTAGGTAGAGTTCCAGATTTGTGGCTGAAAATAGCAAAGACGAACATAAATATTCTCTGACCTTTTAGGGAAAATGTTACTGAGTCTTGAGCTAATGATTTCCATCCCGTTAATGGAAAATAAAGCAGGGTCTGGGCCTTCCTGGAATCAAGGACCTAACCTTGGCTGCAGCTTCTGAAGTAGATAGCAGGGGCCTTCCAAAAGCTCACGGGCAGGAGCCAGCATCGTGGCGTATCCTGCTAATCCTCAGCTTGCTGTGCTGGCATTCCATTTGGGCTCCGATTCATGTCCCAGCTGCTCCACTTCCCATCCAGCTATGTGCTTATGGCCTAGGAAAGCAGCACAGGATGGCTCAAGTCTGTGGGCCCCAGCATCCATGCGGGAGAGCCCAAAGAAGCTCCTGGCTTGAGGCTTCAGATCAGCTGAGTTTCAGCTGTTGCGGCTGAGTTTCAGCTGTTCTAGGAATGAACCAGCTAAAGACATCCCTCTATCCTTTCTCTGTAAAATCTGCCTTTCAAAAAAATATTTTTTTAAAAATCTCATAGGAAAATGTATTGTGAAATAACTCAGTGTTGCATGGATTTCAAATCTTTCAGCATCAAAACAAATTTATCTTTTGACTGCTCTCTGCACAAACTTTTCACAGTCCCCATCCACAAGGACGGGCTTCTTGGGTAAACATGGTTTGTAGATCTGTTCCATTTTGCGAATTTCTTTGCTTGCTTGATATTTTTAAACTTGCAGTGTTTTACTGCCCAATTTTTTTTTTTTAAATTAAACATACAGCTGAAGTTTGCCATTCAGAATATTTACAGATAAAACTAATTGTTCTTCAGAAATGGGGGGCTCTGTCCTCCCACGTTTTGACAAAGAGCTGTTGAATCTAGATATCCACTCCAGTTGTCCCCACCTGGCCCTGTGATATTGGCCTGGCCCTGTAGATATTGGGGTTTGCAAACAGCATTTAGTGAGAACCCGTCTTTCGAGTCACGCTTGGGGACGAGTCCTGACTCAGCTCCCCTCTGGTTGTTTCTTCTACAGGATGAGACTAATGCGAGTAGTTTCCAGGAGTTGTCATGAGAGTGGATCAAGGCAGTGTGCACAGCTTACAGGGCCAGTCGCCAGTCTCAGCCCTCCAACACAAAAACCTTCTAATCAGGCAGTGACGTAAAGTGCTCAGCGCTCTTCTTGGCACTTAGTAAGAGCTCAATAAATTACAGCCATTACCACATTGGTTTGGGGAGCTATTTTAGGACTAAAAGAGATGTGCTGGCTCCATGGCAAGACTTTTTTTTTTTTTTAAGCAATATGGAAAGAAAAGAAATCAAGAATTCCCCAAGGAAGATACCACACTGATATGGGAAACTATGCCACCCCAAGTCACACACTCATCACAAAGTGAACTTGGCCATTTATCTAAGTAACATATTGCTAGCTCCCAGAAATAACTACTATTTAGCATTTCTATCTATTTCCTTCCAGGCTTTTTTTTTTTTCGCCCCTGTGCTTTCACACAAAAATGATTTTGCAAAATTGGGTTCACGCTGTTCTTACTTAAACTTTTTTTAAAGAGTATTTCCCCGTATCAGTAAACCTCCGAAAAACAGGATAAGGTTGGACTCGCTTGTGAATAGCAGAGAATGGAGCCAAGACAGTCGCTGCAAATGCATCCACGGCAGGGATGTGATCAGGATACAGAAATAAGCACTGCCCTGGCCCTCAGCTTTAAGCTAAGGTCCCAGGGCAGACAGAAGCAGAAACCATGGATGAAGCAAACTGGGAAGATGTTCAAGGGTGGGCATACACAGAGCAAGGTCCAGCGGCTACAGGTGAGGGATGTTGGGGACCCAACAGGGCAGGTGTGAAACTTGGACTGTGAGGACCCAAGATCCCAGGATAACGCAAAAGGGAAGAAAGAACTAAGAGATATTTCTGGAGGTGATGAAGTATGCATATACTTTAAAAAGTTAGCTTCTATTGAAAAGTATGCACATACTTTGAAAAGATAAGCTTTTATTGGTGCAAAAAAAAAAAAAAACAACCCTGGAAACCCATGCATTTTTTCCCCATCAAACAGTCATGGAAAATGCATCTTACATATTAGTTCTACATTGCTTTTGCACAAAAACAAACTTACTTAAAAAAAATTATATATATATATATATTATTCCATTTGGAAAGGCAGAGAAACAGCAAGAGGGCGCTCTCTTCATCTAGTTTGCTCTGTAAGTGCCTGCGACCACTGGGGCTGGGTCACACTGACACTGGGAACTGGCAACTGGGGACACAATCTGGGTCTCCCATGTGGGCAGCAAGGGTTCAAGCACTTGGACTATCACCTGCTCTCTCCCCGGAAGCTGGAGTTAAGAGCAGAGCTGAAACTTGAATTAGGCACTCCAGTATTAGATGTGGCTAGCCCAAGCAGTGCTTTTTCAGTACTGTGCCAAGTACTCATTGTAAATGTAGCATGCAGTCCCATCCTCCATGAACTCTCTGAAGTGCTCTCCCAGAATTGCGGAGACTATAACTTCATTCTGGCCAGAGGAGATTGTCCCTATAGTTTGTCAGCTGGT